CGGGCGGCGTCGTCGATGGCGTAGATGATGAGCCCGCTGACGACGCCGGGCCCGACCCTGCGCGCCTGGTAGGTAAAGGACGTGGCGACGGCGAGGTTGTGCCCGGCGCCGCAGAGGCCCCAGAACAGCTCGGGGTTCCGGTCCCTCGACGCGACCAGCCGCTCGCCCCGGACCGTCACCACGTCCACCGAGAGCAGGCTGTCGACCGTCATGCCGAACCGCCGCGTCAGGTAGCCCATGCCGCCGCCGAGCGTGAGCCCCGCGGCCCCCGTGTCCGACACGGTGCCCGCCGGCACGACGTACCCGTGCTCCTGGGTGGCGGCGTCCATTTCCCCCAGGAGGACGCCGGCGTCGACGGTGGTGACGCCCGTCTCGGGGTCGACGGCGATGTTCTTCATGGGCGTCGTGTCAATGACAAAGGCGTCTTGGGGCATGGCATGCCCGTCAATGGCGTGCCCGCCGCTACGGATGGCAATCGGCTCGTCGTGCGCGTCGCAGTACTTGACGGCCGCTACGATGTCGTCGGCGTCGAGACACTGCGCTATCAGGGCCGGCTCGCTGCCGTACCGGGCGTTGGGGATCTTCCGCGCCTCCGCGTACCCCGGGTCCCCCCGGCGGAGGGTCCTGCCTTTGAATCCCTCGGGCGGGAAATCCGGAAACCTCTTGCCGCCCATGTTCTCCGGGGTCGATTCGCCCCAGCCAAGGGGGCCGAGGACGACCTTCTTGCGCGGTAGTAGTGTAGAGTTTGGGGTTTTGGAAGGATCCAAACGAGCAATGTACGCCGGATAAATGTCCGGCAGTATAAATGACACAAAGCACCCACAAGCTTGACGAGTTTGGTGATTCTGAGCTACAGCTTCCCCCCGAGCTTAGGGGGTACGGGGCTTCTTTTAATCCAGCGAGCAAACGCACAACCCTTCCTTGGGAGAGAGGGGGGGGGGGGGGGGGGGAGGCAAACAAGAGGACGCGATGACCTCGCATGCCCAAAAGAATAACAAATCAACTAGCGGAGGAAATGGCGCAAACTTGTACATTGATTCTGGCCCTATTCTTCGTCGAATGAAGCCATTCAAGCCTCAATGGCTGGGCGGTGGTGTGGTGGCCCAGCACGCACCAGTCACCCTCGGGGACGTGCCGCCAATTAGCTCGGCGTACGGAGTAGTCGTAGAGAACAATAGCAAAGTCGCCCGGCACCTCGGCACCTTGTGCAGACACGGCCGCGCGGGACAATAAAACAGCCATGCCTATTCATCCCGTGGCCCTGACGTATTGCCGTCTAAAAACGGCAAACATTCCCACGACGTGCAGACACGCTGGGACGACGAATCCCGGCTCATCCCAAGACATGACGTAAGTCCGTTTTAAACGCAGCGCAGCGCAGCGCAGGACAGGCACAGCTAGGGCGGCGATGAAGCCGCGCCGTGTTGGACCGACCGTTGTGACACGGCATTGTGCCTGCAGGGCAGAGGACCCGGCGCTGCGGAGGGGGTGCTTTTCTCGATGGCCGGACAGTCCTGGCAGACACTCACCTGGGAAACTGTGAGGGAGGAACATTGAAGTGATGGCTTTTGATCGTCGCAGCGGTATTCCGTATTCGGGAGATGGCCGCTCGGATGGGCGAGTCGACCGTTGCGCTGGCTGGCCTTTTTTTTTTTTTTTTTTAAGCCGGGAGAAGAATTTGCAAAATTTATTATCTGATCATCTTATCAATCTGGTCCCCGCTTTTAGCCACGTTGGGCAACTCAACGCACTCGACGAGTGCGGCTGAGATTTGTCCATCGTAACACGGCATGCAGAAGAGATAGGGGTCTGATGGAAGGGGTACAAGGGCGCACCTTGCCGAGATTGATGCGCGGGCTGGCCGCTGTTGGCATTTACGACGGGCCCGGCGATTGCTCTGCTCATGTACATAGACGACGAATACGTAAAGTCGGGACCGTGGGTTCAGCGTGCCACGAGGGCATGGTACCGACGACTCGGTCCTCGGCTTCCCCCCTTTTGGTTGAAGATTTTTCTGCCCCCAAGGTGTGGCCAGCCAGACCCAGATGGCTTGATATTGGTCCCCAGATCCCTGGGCGGATGCAAATCGCGGCTGGACTTGTGCGAGGATGGAATGCTGAGGGGGTGAAAGCAAGGCACGACGCGGTATTTCGAAAGGGCTCGGTCAAACGAGGCATTGTGCTTTGTAGAAAAGGCATCAGTCGTGCTTCTCTGGTTCGTTGAAGAGTTGCATATAGTGTCTGACTGAGTCACATCCCTCACCCAACTTCACCTCTGTTGTCTTCCAAATACCGTTACATTTTTGGCGCCCGTCTCCCGATTTCATCTTGGCAAGATCTGGACGTCATCCTTGGCACCTACGCTGCCAAGAGTATATTATCCCCGGTCCGTATCGGCAGGCATCGTACCCGCCGCAAGTGCCGGCATAGCATTCGCTGTGCCCTCTCAGACATTCTGGTCTCTTTGCCGCCCTTTTCAGCATGCATCAGTTCCGCTGGCTAGTTGCACTGGCGGCTCTCACATTGGGGGCGTCCTGTTTCGGCGTCACCAACACCCATGACGGCGCCAAAGGCTTCATTGGCTACGGGATAACACTATACGAGCCCCTATGCGCATGGCCCTGTTTGTCCGCCATCACGGCCCCGATCAACTGTACCGACGGGGACCTTGCCAACACCGCGCGGGACAAGAGGTCCGAGAGATCTGTGCCGGACGCCGTGCCGCAGAGGAGAGAGGCAGCGGACGCGGGTGAACCCGTGTACCCTTCGGGAACAGGTTGGCAAGTAACCGCAGAGCCGACCCGGCAGTGTCAATCACGAAACGAGTACTTCATGAAGACGGCGGCATACTGTCTCCAGATCAGGTGCCGCAGCCTGCCTCTCCAGGAACTAGAAACCTTTTATGAGAAGCAGTTCCCTGGTGTGAACAAGTCGGCGCTCGCACCGGAATACCACAGCTACTCGGCTCTCGTCGCGGCTATGACCAGCGTCCCTACACAGCCGCTGAAGGCCTCCGTCATACTCAACTACACGGCGTACATCCCTGATGAGACATATAATATCTACTACAGCACCATGTACACCTACGCCAAGATGGAGAAGAGAGGCTCCTGGTACGCCATGGTGATCTTTGTATCGGGAGCAATCATCCCCATCGGCGTCTCGATGCTGCGCTTCCTCCCCTGGCCGCAACGCTGGCTCACCAAGTTCCACGCCTTCATCATTGACCCGCCGCTGCTCGGCACAAAGCACGAAACGCCCGTATGGGGGCTGGGCACCGTCCCAACACGCGGACAGGCCATCTTGCTGTTGTACATGTGGGTGATCAACGTCGTGGCCACCGTCCAAGGCATCGACTACGCCTTCCCTTCGTCACGATACTCGACGCCCGCCGTGGCCTACAAGACATACGTCGCCAACCGGTCCGGCGTGATGAGCTGTGCGCTGTTCCCGCTGGTCATGCTGTATGCCGGGCGCAACAATCTCCTCCTCTGGCTGACAAACTGGTCGCACGCCACGTTTCTCCTGATCCATCGATGGACCGCGGTGCTGTGCATGCTGCATGCCGTGGTTCACGGCGCGCTGTACCTCAACAGCGCCCTTTTGAACTACCACGGGTGGTCGTATGTGGAACAAAGTACCCAGAGGTACTGGCAGCTCGGCGCGGCTGCGCTGCTGGCCCTGGTTATTCTATGCGTGATATCGGTCCAGATTGTGCGTCGCAAGGCGTACGAGTTGTTCCTGGTGCTGCATATCCTGCTGGCTGTGGTTGCGCTCGCGGGGGCCTTCTTCCACATCAATCTCAAGTACACCTCCGACTATGGCTACGAAAACTGGCTGATCATGGCCCTGGCGGTGTGGGCGTTTGACAGAGCGATGAGGCTCGCGAGGTCGCTCCGGCATGGAGTCAAGAGGGCGTACTTGTCGCCCATCGACGATGAGTATTACCGGTTGGACATTCCGAATCTGTCGGCGTCGGGGCACGTGTATTTGCATTTCCCAGCAGTGAGTAGTTGGCGAGTCTGGGAGAATCACCCCTTCTCCGTGGCCACAGTGTCGTATCGCAAGTCGAAACTGGAGAGTACGGTGCAGATGGTTGAGACCAAGGAAATGGCAAAGAACGAGTCAACCATTCATACAAGCCGAGGTAGCAGCTCTGCCGCGTCTATATCGGAGCAGACGCAGGCAGAGCAGCTCGGGAGCTCGGGTGTTGTGCTTTTTGTCCGCAAACACGCCGGCATGACGGCTCTTCTAGCCAAGAGACGCGCGGGGGAAAAGGGCGTCCCTGTTCTGGTCGAAGGTTCGTACGATATTGGCTCTACGTTCCTACAGGACCAGCACCCGAAGCCTACTCACGACTATCCGAATCTCATTTGCATTGCGGGCGGTGTGGGCATTACCGGCGTTCTCTCCGCGCTGGATCACTTTAACAACACGGCGAAACCATGCGGTACTCGGAAGTTGCTTTGGGGTGTGCGGACGATGCCTCTGGTACATGCGGTCGAGAGCATGTTGGGCTACGACTGTGGTCGTGGTCTGCAGAGGAGGTGGGGAAATCTAGAGGTGACTCTTTCAGTAGGGCAGCGCTTCAATCTTCGACATGTCTTGGAGAAAGAGCTGCGTGTTCAAAGAGGTGGTACAACGGTGGTTGTGTGTGGGCCAACGAGTATGGCGGACGATGTGCGGTATATCGTGTCGGCACTGGCGAGACATTCCGGGGACAATGGGCCTATTCTGGTCAAGTTGGCTATTGAGAGTTTTAGTTGGTGATTGGAAGGGGAAGGACTGAGTGTTTTTGTCCATCACATGATGATAGTGCTTATAAATCAAATTGAAGTCGCCGAGGTTGCCCAGCGAGATCTTGCCATTGAGATGCAGCTCAAGCCGTAGCCTTTCATGGCCTAGGCCGGCGGATTGTCTGATTGGTTACCTAGCAATCTCATCCAGCATCAGTTACTCAATCGAGCACGTATACAGACAAAAAGGGGAATTTGTCCTCCTTGGTTGGATACTCGTCAGGTAGAGGAATTGCTACTCAAGCTCACTTGGGTACCCACGTCATCGGATGCTCGTCTCCGTACTGCGGCGCAAGTGATTGAATGATGAAGCTTGCTGTGATGGTCTCATTCAGTCGACTATGCACATGTCGCCGGTTTTTCCTCTTTTCAGGCCTGGTTTTAGCAAAGGCCGTCATTGCGATGACTCGTAGATGCGTGGTGGCCATCGGTCGGTTAAACGAGCACAAGCATCATCCCGACTATGAGATTTGGTGTCGTTGCCAGAGTTGTGGCGAGAGTCCACTATTTCAAGGGTTACTATCGAAAAAATTGCAAGTTAATAAAGGGAGTTTGGGCTTACCATCTATTCACGATTCTCGCTTCCTCAAGCATCACATATCTATCAACCCAACCGTCAAAGTTAGCAGCATGACATCGAAGGGGATGACCCTGGCTCCCAAATGCCTGCTATAGTTACCATCCATCACGGTCAAAAAGTTCTCACTAACACGATGGCATATAGTGTCGGAACCGCGCATCTCTCCAAGTCCAGACAGATCTTTGGTCTCCCCGACTTCGACAGCGTGCAACTTATCGTAGAGGCTCTCAACATGGGATATCGCCACATTGACACTGCCGAACGTGAGCGTCAGACCGGCATGCATCAACCTCCAGAAGCGCAGCTGACCGCAATACAGTTTGCATCGGCTCGAGGGATATTTGGATGACTTGGACGAGTTCCGGCCGACGCAGGAGGACATTGAGGACATTAGGCAGCTGGGGTTGCAACAGAAGGTTTCGAATTATATGCAAATGGGCGTTGGGCTGGAATATGAGACAGGACTGGTAGAGCCCACGCCTTCTTGGGGGTTCAACACACCCAAGAATATGATGACGATGGTCAAAAATGTGGCAATGGTCTCGTCAACTTGGGGGCCGACAAGGCATTGTGAATTTGTAGAAACACAATTGAAGATTAAGCTTTGATGTCCATAGACTCCATACCTTGTTCCACTGGAGCCCAGCAAATGTCAAGCGCACGGGAAGCTCCTGCCACATCTGCGGCTCCACTAAAGCCCTTTGAAAGCAGTAATCAGTGAGCTGTCACTTCACCAGACATTTCATTTCACTCGATCCAATTATCCAACACGTCAACCTCGCCCCGTCGCCACCAAGCTCGCCCTCAACCACAATGCGCCATGAGAACCCGCAAGTCAAACCGCACAAAGAGCTACGCCGTCGCAAAATACGACTTTGAAAGCTCGTCCTCCGAAACCGAGCAAAATGACGCCCCCAAAGCCTCAGCCAAGCCCACCCGCCGCCGCCGCGACCCAGACGACGCTGATGAAAACTTTGACACATCAGCGTTGAACGAGTCGCCCGCCGCCAACGACGATGATCTACCCTCGGAGGAAGGAGAAGGAGAAGAAGAAGAAGTCGCCGAAAGTGAAGCCGCCGAATCAGAAATCCAACCCCCCGCCGCTACCGCGCCAACCCGCAAGCGCGTAAAAAAAGTCAAGAAGACCGTCTCTGGCGGAGGATATCTAGACCTCGAGTCCGTGACCACAGATACCCATCTCAAGGGGTACACGGGCCCTTATGACAGGAGTATGCGCGGGCAAACGCTGGTGAGTACATGGTATGGGCCGCGGACGGCGAGCATTCGCCTTGCGCAAAGACTCATAGACCGCTGGGTTGCGTGGACGGTGCTGCCGCCACGGCATGTCGTAGCCGAGCATGGCATTTCGAATGTGGCCCCGTGGGCGGCTGAGGGGTACAGGGAGAAGGAGGCGTATTACGCCGAGAGGTGGAGCGTGCGACTTGCGAATGATGGCGGTGTACAGGGGACTAAGTATCGGGAGTTGGGTGGTGATGAGGCCGAACTGTATGCGATGCCGAGGAGGGAATTGAGGTTGATCATGGGGCCGTATAAGGCGCAGAGGGAGATTGGTATCGAGCCCGGTGATTCGTATGCGCTGTCGCAGGGCTGGATCCCGTACGATGTCGATGATACAAAGGACAAGATACCCACGGGGTGGATGTTGGACGTTGGTGGTATCGTGACGGGCATGGATTGGGCACCGCGGCGGGAGGGCGAGCAGGTGCTTGCTTTGGCGGTTATACCGCATTCTGACCAGGAGGAATACGATTACGAGACGGAGCACCAGAGGCCTGATTTTCAGAAGTACGGCACCGTGCAGCTGTGGGGGTTTAAAGGCGACGACACGGATGGTGTGTGGAGGCCATCGGCGCAGAAGCCGTCTCTGCGAAGGACGATTTGTCTTGATTATGGGCGTGCGAGAAGGGTGCGATGGAGTCCTGCGTGCGACCATCTTGCTATCCTGTGTGGCGATGGAAGTGTACATGTTATTGAGGTGGATAATAAAATCGGCTCGTTTGGTGCGTCCATCTGTGAAGCTCTATTATTTCTATGCTAATGATGGCTATAGACAAGGTCGAACACCCTCTTGCGTCATTCACACTTTACGGCGAATACTCGATCAAAGCTACATCCTTTGCATGGGCAACCTTCAACAGGGTCGTCATCGGGTACTCGGACGGATCCATCGCCCTATGGTCCCTTTACCCAAACTGCCTGCTCTCACGGCACGCCGTGCACCACAGTCTCGTCGTCGACCTTGCAACAGGGCCCCCTTCTCATCCATTTCTCGTAGCATCTACACCCGTAGGCGGCGCGACAAAACTCATTGATCTGAGCTGTCCGACATACGAGTCAACAGAGGTGCAGACCAACGCGGTAAGCTGGCAGCCCAACATGCTTGCCTACAGCGACCACATCCAGGGTTTCTTCTCGGTATACCCTTCAGCCAATGCGCTCAACACAATGATCGGATTCATGCACCAGCGGTACTTTCCCATTGTGCGGAGAGTGTACATCGGCGAAAGCTACAACTCCTGTCTTGCCTCTGGCAAAACGCATCCGTTTCTGCTGATTGGCACGAGTGACGGGTCACTGTGGTGCATAAACCCACAAGTTGAGTTGTTCACTAGTCGGCGAGAACTCACGGATCGGCTTCGCCTGTTCCAGCATGAACACCGGCCCAAAGAACTATTCCCTGCCGACTCGGCGGCTCCCGCAAGGGGCGCATGTCGCATCATTCATGGATTCGCAGTCGAAAAGGGGAGAAGTCCAAAGGGGGAGGTGAAGGCGCAGCCAGGTAAAAAGTTCAAAAGACCGAAAAAGGCCGACCTCGATGCGGGCGAGGGGAACGAGGATGATGAGGCGGGCGGGCTGATGGATCCAACGAGAGGCATTGTGTATGAGCCCTTGTCGAGGGTTACCGTCGTAGAATGGAATCCGAACGAGGGGTTTGGTTGCTGGGCAGCTGCGGCCATGGCGTCAGGGTTGGTGAGGATCATGGACCTAGGGTTGGATAATGCCCGTTGACATGGTGTTTGTTTTCGGCACGGATATCTATCACCAAACACAAGTCGGCCCATTACCATGGTGGGCATCAAACGCCTTGGCCATGCCGTAAAAGTGCGTTGCAGCAGCCAAGAGCACGAAGACGTGGAATATCTGATGCGAGCTGCCCCAGATATCAAATGATCCTGGAAAACTCCTCTCCGGCCAACGGGCCTTTTTACCACATGGGTCAGATTTACGCACATCATGATTACGGTGAGGAGAGACTTACCGCGTACAAGACAGCGCCGAAGATATACATGGCACCCTGAGCAATAACCCAGCTAATGCTCATGCGCTCCTCCAATCCCGCGTACCCGTATACCGACATGCCGTGAACAACAGGAACGACACCCGAAAGACCGAGCCCGATGAACATGGATGCTCTGTATATTCGCCATTTGGGTGTGCGAAAGCGCTCTACCCAGGATACTACTGCGCACCCGATGCCCAATGTGCAAATCTTGCCGCGAGTTAGTTTGCATGTGCTAGACATGACAACATTGAAAGAAGAAAATAAAATTAAATAACTCACGAGATATAAATACCCCGACATCAAAGCAGGACTGCAAAAAAAGCCATAATACAGGGCCGGCACATAGCTCCCCACAATCAAGGCCACGATGCCCGTGTAATCAAGCTTATTCCCCCATTTGGCCACAGCCTCGCTGTGGTCCACAAGGGCGTGGAAGGTCGCGCTCATGCCCAGACACAGAATGGCTCCGCCAAAGAAACACGAGAAGACGAGCACATCCGACGAGGTGGCGGCTTCGTAACGCGGGTGAACGACGTAGTATACGTAGACGGAGGAGATGATGGCCGCCAAGGCCCCGAGCAGATGAGTCCAGATGTTGACGGATTCATTGTGCAGGTAGAACAGGGACTGGAAGGAATGGGCGTACGAGGCACGGATTTGGCGATAGCCCGAGTGGATGAAGGCGTTGTCACGGCGCCAGGGGGGGAGGTCGTCCCAGAGGAGGAGCAGTTTGGACTCGGCCTTTTTCTCGAGCGCCTGCAGGGTGGTGAGGATGGACTCTGTTGTTGAGGGCCGCCGGCGGCGGAGGTTAGACATGGTGGCGGCTTTCGCGAGGGTCGGGTGTGTGTCATTGCAGGACGTATGCTGAGGTCTGCGATGGTATTTATAAAAAGGATGTGACATGGGTGTTGGATACGGCTTGGTTCATGGCCAAGGAAGCCGCGGTGGTTATCCCGAAATTGTTGGGACTAGCACGTGTAAAATGCCATCATGTTGAATCTCGCAGTTGAGGGCCGTGACTTGCCTCAGGCGCACCCGTGTCTCCACTGCTGTGTCAGTGGTTCCGTTTATCAATCTACTGACTGGACAATTGATGACATCAATTCGATGGAAGAAGGGGGCCATTAAAAGCCACCAGACGGCAGGGGACTTGGAGACACTAATTGATGGAGCGGTAGTTGATCACTGTCTGATGCGCCCGGTAAGATCATGTCCTGCGGCAAGCCTGCCCTGGGCCGCCATGTCTGCCGGCTGCACATCTAGCGCTGCACGGTTGACAGGTTGGAGGCTATGCAGCCAGGGGACTTTTAAAAGAAATTTGATAATATATAAAAATACTCTTTATACAAGGGAATATCATCACTTAGCGTACAGGCTAGAAATGAATACAAGTCCTGAGCCCCAACAGCAATGATAGCACAACCCCTCGTCACGGGTGTAATGCAATTCTAAGCTAAGCCTAAAACAGAATCCCCCCCACCTGCCCTTCGTAGAATCCCTCCGTTCAACTCTTCCGGCCTCTCGAACCCCACCAAAAAGCCGCGATATTTTCCCTCCATTTCATTCTCCCGCGCAACCAACAGAACCAACCAGCAGCCGGCCGGGAACGCGAGCGTCGCCGTGCAAGAATCGCATCTCCCTTCTTTCTCGAATCCGGAGCATTCATCAGCCATGGGTGGCCAGGGCAGAGAAGGTGCGTAACAGCAACCCGCTCCAGTGTGGCCGCCGCAACCATTGCCGCCTCCAACAGGGGATCTAACACGTCGGTTCGCATAGGTGGCAAGAAGAAGCCGGACAAGGCCCCCAAGAAGGCCCAAAAGGAGCTAGACGAGGACGACATGGCTTTCCTTGAGAAAAAGAAGCAGCGTTCGTGACATCCGCGTGATACTCTGCCACGGCGGGTCGATGCAGCAACATGTGCTAACTTGTGGAATAGAGCAGAAAGAGTTGGAGGCGATGAAGTCAAAGGCTGGTGGAAAGGGGCCTCTCAATACCGGAACCCAGGGCATCAAGAAGAGCGGTAAGAAATAAGCCACGGGCTCGGCTTCGAGACCGACATGGTTTTCTGATGTGTCGAGGCGATTACGGAAATGGGTCGAAATACTTTTTTGATAGGCGCGTGGGATTTTTTCTCTCTCTTTTTTTCCTCTAGTCAAATAGCCAACTCTGGTTGCGACATCATATGAAATGAGGCGTGGTGTTGAAATCTCGCTTCCACAAGTCCGTTTGCTTGTCCGCCCGATGGGTTAGATACCGCACCATGTCCAGCTAATTTCCTGCGGCCATGGTTTGACTGCTCCTCCGGGTTACATTGTCATGCTGCGTAGTCTTGCCAGTGTCGGCTTTCTCAAAACCTGCTGTGGGCGTGACGGACTGTGACACGAGGGATGCGTGCTCCTTGCTCTCTGTTCAACAATGTGTCGCGTATAACTCTTTCCGTCGGCTTGCTACTGCTTCCGGTCTCCGAGATTATGGCTTGCATTTTGTGCTCGGAAAGCATCTATGCAAACAAGTGCCGTGGACTATTCTAAGCATGTCTGGCCTCGGGCGAAAGCTCTGCTTTGCACGCAGCTTTGCAGGTAGTGCTTTGGATGATCCATTCCCTTGGTTAGTCTGTAACGACGGGTTGGGCGAGAATGATTTTAAAACTCTCGGTGCAAGACTGGTTGGAAAGTGATGATTGGAAACAAATCGTTAGCGTCTTCGATAGCAAGTATTCAGGGCGAGTTCTTCTTTCTAGGTAAAACTTTATTACCTCGAGGGGATCTGCGGTCAAATCGTTCAAATCGCTGATATTGCACTCCTTGATCATGATACCACCCTAATAATCGGCCGCGCAGACGTACAAATAGTCACAATATTATTTATCCATGTCGCCGTGATACTACTACTGGGTCTCCATACAACCTTCAATGTTCCGGTTCAAAGACGAGTGAGTTGCTGCTGCAGTCCAAGAAGGGTGACAGGCAGCAGCCGCCTTGAAATCGCCAAGTATTGCATTGAATCACTCGGGGACTGGGCGAAGCGTGTCAAATTAGCTGATTCAAGTGCGCTCGCTTTTGCAATGTTGGTAAACGTAGAATGGCAATCACGTATACCTTGGTCGCGTTTGCTCGTAGTTGCACACTGAGTAGGGAAGAAGGCACGTTGACTGAGTAAAGATATTTCCCATCTATTTACCATGATTATGCTATGAATACTTGATGAGCGAAGTCTCATGGCAGTCGGAAAATAACATTTACTAGGTCCGGTAGTAACGTGAGCCCTCGCCAGCACAACTGCACAAGGTTGCTGAATCTGAGCCCCTCAAACTGCTGCTGCCGGCGATGAAATCGTGCGTTTTTGGAGCATTTGAAAGGTCCATGGAAGCACCTCTTTCTTGCAAGTCCTTTTCGCGCATCGCTACGCCCTTGCCGCAGCTTTGCTTGACAATTGTCGGGTCGAAGTTCTTAGTTGACAACAGGGTAAATGCCTGGGCGACAGCAATTGGCGGCCATCTGTTGTGCCAGGCACTGGAGTTCGTTACGTAATCAATCACACCAGAGGTCGAGTCAAAATTCTCCACACTCCAGCAGCAACTACGTCAAGTCTGAGTCTTCGGCCGTGATTGCAATCAGTCTGCACAGCCTCGGCTTGCCAATACCTCTCCATTTTCTCCCTTTGTTATCTCTCCATCAGCACCATCTCTTTGCAGGTTCGAGAATAACTCTCTGGCCTCTGGGATTCTTCTATTTTTCCCTTTCGCTCCCCGCTCTCGTCGTGCAAGAACAGTATCCAAATGACCTGAGCCTGGCACGAGTCAACGCTGATCTGGTTGGACTCTTTCTCCCGTTTACGCGTTGGCCATTCCTGATCGCATTTGCTGACACTGTTGATTTTGCTTTTCATCAAGGTCCTTACCAGGATCCAGTACGCATACAATGGCATCCAGCTCTGATGAGGGCGAAATCATTGAGGAGGGATATGGGGATTTGAAGGCAACTTCACTTGCACGCCATTCAGGAAACGGTATTGACCGCCAAGACAGACCCCGAAGTAGACAATCGTCTCCAGATCACGAAGGTGCTTCCAAAAACAGCGGCTCCTCCCGCCGAAGCCGCTCGCCTCGCGGATACAAACGCATTCGCAACGATGGAGACCAGTACACCCGAGGACGTGACCGAGAATCCAGGCATGTCCGCGCTCGCTTCGATGATTCCATTAGAGGTGATTATCGCAGATCACGCATCTCTTACGACGATCTAGATCGACCGAGCGCAACATCAGGCCACCACTACGACCGGCGTTATGATGGTGAAAGGGATCGCGAAAGGGACCGCGACCGGGATCGTGGTCGTGGCCGGTTTTCCGACAGAGCGGGCCGTTCTCGGAGTCGATCGCCCCATGCATCACAACGATTGGGTAGGTCGGATAACAGAAGTTTTGCACAAGAGCGCCGGAATTACGATCGTGACTCGACCGAGACTCTGCACTATGGCGATGACCGACGTTCTCGAGTTGACAGAGAGCTGCCTCAGCGGGCTGCAGTAAAGGAGCACTCACCTGCCTATAACAGTGTCGTTGAACAGCGCACGAAGCCGCCAAAGGGCATTCTAAAACCCAGCAGCACGTTTGCCGAGCCTGATGACTACGAAGAGCCGGAACCGATAGACGAGGATGCTGAAATCGAGCGTCGCCGGCGGCGTCGAGAGGAACTGTTGGCGAAATCTAGCTCGGCCACTCCCCTTCTTCTACATGCTGTCGGCGCCTCTGCAGACAAGAACGCTCGAGGAGCTTCCCCTGCATCCTCACAGCCGGACACGCCGCAAATATCATCATTTGAGGGCGAAACCCCTCGTACACCTCGATCCGGTACGTGCCTAATTAGAATGAATTTCTGGCCACCAAAGACTAACTCATCAGACTTTGCATCCCCTCGTTCACCCGAACCGTCACCTGATGGAATCAACTTACTCAGTGACAAGGACCTCATGAACACTCACAGCAATGCGAAAGCGGATGACCAGGATGGACCTTCAGCAGCCGATTACGACCCGACAGCTGACATGAAAGAAGACGAGCGTCGAGACGAGCTCAGACATGGTCACACAGTCCTACACGGTGAGAGCGTAACTGAAACAATTGAAACGAAAAATGACAACGCCAAGGATGATGCCGCCAGCTCATTGGAAAATGCCGAAGACGATGACTTTGACATGTTTGCTGACGACATTGACGTTGACAACTATGCCAGCAAGCAGACCAACGCCGCTGCTGCCACGGCTGGTGCAGATGGCCCAGCCCAAGCATCGCAAGCCGACGACAAAGGTGGTATTCTGGAAGGCGACGATAAAGACGGATATTACAAGATAAGAATCGGTGAGATTCTTGATGGTCGATATCAGATCCAGGCAACTCTCGGCAGAGGCATGTTTTCTGGTGTTGTTCGCGCAGTTGACGTCACAACCAAACAGGTCGTCGCTATCAAGATGATGAGAAATAATGATGCGCTACGAAAGGGCGGATACACCGAGATTGCCATCTTGCAGAAACTTAATGACGCAGACCCAGAGAACCGAAAACACATTGTCAAGTTCGAGCGGCACTTTGACTACCGCGGGCACTTGTGTATGGCATTCGAGAACCTGAGTATGAATCTGCGTGAGGTTCTGCGCAAGTTTGGCAACAATGTTGGCATCAACCTGGGGGCGACGAGAACCTACGCCTATCAGATATTCGTTGCTCTGGCCCATATGCGAAGATGCAGCATCATCCATGCCGATCTCAAACCAGACAACATTCTAGTCAACGAACAGCGCAACGTCCTCAAAATCTGTGACTTGGGCACTGCAATTGATAGGTCTGATGCCGCAACGGCACACAATCAACTGACGCCGTACCTGGTCAGTCGGTTTTATCGGGCGCCAGAGATTATCCTAGGCATGCCCTACGATTACGGAGTTGACATGTGGTCTATCGGATGTACTCTGTATGAGATGTATACGGGCAAAATCTTATTCACGGGCGACAGCAATAATCAGATGCTCAAGGCCATCATGGAGATACGCGGCCGCTTCACACCAAAACTGTTTCGTCGGGGGCAGCTCGCGGCGGCACATTTCGATGAGCAGGGTCAGTTTGTGAGTGTCGAACGTGACAAGGTCTTGGGAAAGGTATGTTTTTCACAGATTCCTACTGTTTACGCCCGCGTCTTCTCTTTTCTCGTTTCATCGATCGGTTCTGGCGTGTAGTTGGGAACACATCTACACCCACACATCACACAATATCTTACTCCTTGCTTCTTCCCCTTTTCGTGCCCCCATCTAGTGGAGATGGATTGGCTGGCAACAGTTGCCCCGTGTAAGCGCCAGAATCCTTTCTAGATGCACTGCGTCGCAAGGCAAGCACAGCTCGGATTGGGGCATACTGGCAACGGGTAACGCTGTCCCTTGGGATGTGGTTTGACTTTGTCAGCGCCGGACAGGATGACACTCTGTCGGGCGGGTAACAGAGCGCCAGCCTCACGGTCGCATATTGGGCTGCAGACCCGGCAGAATGCACTTGTCCATGGCTAAATAGTCTCCGCGACTGGGGTGGCTTGTTTTACATATTGATGACGGGAATGCTGACATGTGCACTTTGCAGACGGCGGTCAGAACATTGGCCGTGGTGAAGCCAACGCGAGATTTGCGAACCCGGCTCAACGCCGCATCGACAGGGATGAACGATGCCGAAGCCAGGCATCTCAACCACTTCATCGACTTGCTGGAGCAATGCCTCGCGCTGAACCCGGACAAGAGAATAGCCCCAAGTGAGGCGCTGAAGCATCCCTTCTTCGCGTCCAAGACGGCGGCAAGCAACGGAAGGCGGTAAGATTACGGGTGATTTTGTCGCTGGCGGCGTTTCGGTGTGGCAATGCAAGGATGTAAATTAAGAGGCTTCACAAGAAGCGCATACTGACGGGAGGGCAGCGTGTCAGAGGAGGAGGAGGAGGAGGGACGAGGCAGTTTGAGGGCAAACAGCATAGAAGTTTCTTTGTAGGCGACGGCGCA